CTTTTATTAGTGCAGTAATTTTAGCTTTATGCATAAAATTAGTTTTAGTTTTTTAAACTGCTAATACACAGAAGCTCTAAGCACCCAACAGGCCTTTAACTCAAACAGTGTGAGTTAATAGAGTCAGAAAATTGCTGAACATTTACAGCATTTAGCAGACACCCTTATCCAGAGCAACTTACTTTTCTCTTATTTCATACAACTGGGAGTTAAGGGTCTTACTCACAGGCACAGCAGCAGCACCACTGGGATTTGAACTCACAACCTTCTGATTGTTAGGCCCATATGTTAACCACTGAGCTACTAATGCTCTAAACAGACAGAGCACACAGAATGTGGTATAGTAATAATGCACAATATTAATAAGTTAGTAATAATATACTGTGAGGTAGCATACTTAGTCATAGTATAGTATAGTGTGATGTGGAATAGTATATGATTATAGTAATACAACTAAATAATAATAATAATAATAATGTCAGATAGCAGTCTCCTCTCTTCTCTTCTTTTCTCTTGTGTAAATCATATAGCAGGAGAGAATTGCATCTGATGCTTCCATTTCAAGTTCAGATAATAGTCTCTTCTCTTCTCTTCTCTTCCCCTTTCTTTGCGTCTCTTGTCTTCTCTTGTGTAAATCATATAGCAGAGACGTATTATGTGCTGATACCTTTAAAGGAATTCTAAAAGCTATATTTTGCACGTAATCAAACTGCTAGAATTCCTGCAAAACAATTGACTGGAATTTGTTGGAAACAGAGAGTCAGATGTCAGTTTTGGAGTGTGATAGGAGAAAGTCAAATTTTTCACCTAAAAAATCACAAAGGCTAACGGCTTGGAGTTTTTTAGGTGAAAATTTAGACTTTCTCCAATCTTCTTAATATTCGCTCCATTGGTTACTGAGGTCGAGAAAAAAACAGGAACTTCAGTTTGGTCTGCTTATAGCACTCCAAATGAGTATGGAGATAGCGCTGGTTAAAGTAGTAAATGACTGAATACTGGCTCTGATCAGGGGTGTGTCTACTTGCTTGTGCTGCTCCATCTCAGTGCAGCTTTTGATGCCATAGAGCACAATATTCTTCTAGACAGATTAGAAAATGTTGTTGAATTTAAGGGAACCACTATTTCCTGTCTACATGATGTAGACAGGAGTGCAAGTTTAATCTGCCTTTCACACTCCAAGGCTGAGATCCAAGACTTTCATTTCTGACAAATTCCAGTCCAAAAAATATACAGGTTTTGGAAAGACCCTAACCACATCTCAGCTTTGGAGTTTGATTGGACGAAATGAAGTGCGTTCCTGTCTATGTCTCGTCCCCAGTGACCCACGGTGTGAATTTGATGAAGATCAGAGAACATCAAATTTTTCACCCGAAAAAACACAAAGGCTAACCCCTTGGAGTTTTTTAGGGTGAAAATTTTGACTTTCTCAGATCTTTCTCAAAGTTGCTCCAGTGGTCAGTGAGGTCGAGACATAGACAGGAATGTGAGTTTGGTCTGTCTATCACACTCCAAAGCTGAGATCTGAGGCTTCCAGTTCCAGTTCCAGTCAATAACGTATACAAATTTTGGGGACCAACAGTAAGTGTACAGTCTGATGTGAGAGAATGTTGTCATATAGTAATAGTACATTATCATGTGGTACTGAAAACTATAGTGTGTGACATAGTAAGTGCAACATATT